ATTGAGAATCAATGTATTACGGAAAAAGGATGAACGAAATACAGCTTCTCGCTAAGAGAAGTTACTCGATCCGTTAAGATTCTTCAGCATGTTTCATTGTAAATTGTACCGTGCGCGCGTCTATAAATTCATGCATAGTTTCATTCTGCTTAATCAAGGATGAAGGCTAGATCAATGATCTCAAACGTACTTTAAGAAGAATTTAGTCTGCGAGACGCTCTCACACTCGTTACTAAACAATTTACAATAGTATTTCATTTTAACTGATGCGTAAAGATCTGGATCTTAATCAAATATTCCTCTTTCACATATTTTAGAATATATTGTCTGTATAAGCACGTATGTTTAAAATGCAACGGAATTGGTGCCAAGAATTAAGGGAGAAAAGTAATGCGAGAGGGAAGAAAAGAAAATATTTTACGGTACAAAACTTATAATTATTGCTCGTATAATTGGTTTGTGTTAATTTTAATATCTCTGCTGGAAATTTCAATTTAATATTTGTTTGGTATCTGAATACATAGTTTAATTTTAAATTTCACGATCTTAAATTATAATATTGTAAAGTTTCAACTTATTTCGTTTTATGTCTGAGCAACTGAAAATTCATATATTCACTTTGAATACTTCAAAAGGTTTTATTTGTAAAAATCTTTTATGGAGAATTCTTGTATCTGGAATTTTCACATTTCCTGCTTTGTGTTAAGAATGTGAAACGATTCACATTCCAATATTCGAATGACTTTCGTTCCTTTAAAAATATTTCTATAAGTATCTTTCTCTTTTTATATATTTTTAACTGTATTTTGTGCATTGCTATAATAATTTCACGTTGAAATAATAAGTTAAGATAATAATAAAATAACAAATAAGTTTTCTTTTTGAAAGTATTTCTTCTGTTTTTCCATGCTATTGCTAAGAATCCAGTATCAGTTCAGTATTTCCTGATATTTTTCTACTCCATCTCTTGACACGTCTGATGTGAATCAATGCATTTTGATTAGAAACTATTTTCACGTGCACTTCGGAGCGAAGGAGTCCGAACTGCTTGAACTTGGCAGACGAGAAAATGTGTCGTCGAGTGTTTCCTCTGTGTGAGAGAGCGAGAGAGAGAGGGGGGGGGGGAGTCTTGATCATTGATCTGGCTTCTTCTTTTATACTTGCCCGGGATACTCGCACGGAAGCGTGCACGATGAAATTCGCCGGGGAATGTTATACCAAGCGCGGTCTCGCTGGAAATTGTGTTTCGCTGTTTGTTCTTCCGTCCGTTCGGGAGCTGACATTAATTTAACCTCGTACGAGGTATGTCTAAAAAGTTCCGCCAACGCGAGCGCGAAACAAAGACAGATGACGTTTGCAGAACTGAATTCTTACCTCGCTGTAACATTTCATAGCGTATGGTACTTAGAAAGAGAAATAATACAAGTGTCAAATAAAAGTATCTCTTCGCAGGCTGATGAATATCGAACAAATTTAAATCTTATAAGCATGTAGATGCTTAAAATAATTTTACGAATTCCGTATCATTAATTTATATATTACAAAAAAAAAAAATAAAAAATGTATAGATTATATATTCTCACTCGAATTAATCAAATTAAATTAATAGATGGTAAAAATAATTTTTCTTATATTATTAATTTATATGTTATAGAATAATGAAAAAAGAGAATAGGCAGATTCGTATATTTTTTTTTAAGATAACGTTCAGCTTATAATTTTAATATTATCAAACTTTTTTAAACTAAAAAGTCTCTCAATATATTAATTTTTCAGGATTCCTAAATTTTTGAATATTATTCTACAATTATTCAAATTTGCTTAGAATTTTTTATACTGCGCGTCTTCTTGCGGTGATACTTGTGAAGAGTAAAAAGATTGAAAATGAAATGGCAGAATCGGAAATTGTGGGTTTCGAGGTTCGACAATAGTCCCACTGGTGAGAACTGGCAATTTCTCAGTTCGGCGAACTGCCATGGAAAATTGAGGAACTATTTTCACCCGCGGTACCGTCACCCCCATCGCGCACCAATGGTAGCACAATACACCTCTGTAGATTCGTTTCGACTGTGCAGGATGTATCGGCGCGATAGCCTCGCTCTGCCACTATTGGCAGGACATTTCGACGATTTTTTTTGTATCGGATGAAATATAGACTCGATACTTTGTAGGACATACGTGCATTTAATGACTTTGTTGAGAGTGAGAAGTAATTTTCTGCCGATTTTCCATCAGACCTTTAGGAGTGCTCGAAGGATATCTACCGCACCTACTAAATAACTTTGTGGAACGATACTCGTAGCGTTGATGAGTCGATGAGTTTAATCCTGATACTTCGAACGAAGGAACACGTTCTCGTGTTGAAACAAGACAAGTGTAGCTTGGATAGCTATCCAAAACATGGTAGCAATTTTTGAAAAATTACACATTTGACCGTCTATCGATTTTTAACTTCGACTGTTATGTGTAATCCAATCGGGTACACGCCTATGTGGATTCAGGGCGTTGCCGTATCAATTTAGCGTTAATTTAACACATTTCCTACCTATTACCATCTATACGAACCGAGAACACTTTGCATTGATTTTATGGTCAATTGTGGATTCTAGAGAGGTCTATTAACTTTGCCGAAGAATTTTATTGAAAACATTTTATTGGAAAATATATTTTAATATGAAAAATTTACTTTATATTATATGAAAAATAATCATCTTTAAAAATAGATTATATCTAACATTGTATTATATCTAACATATTTAGTTATATATATTTAAAAAATGTTTAACTCTCGCATTGAAAAAAATCCCTGGCTGTACATATTCAGGAAGCATTTCTATTTAAAGTTAATAAATTAATGTCATACTTTATACGCGTTCTTGATATACGTTTCATTAATAATTATAATAAAATACATTTTTACGAGTTGTTCCGAAATGCGAGATCGTAGTCTCTATCCTGATAGTGAAGCTATCGTGTCGTTTTGCAACAGACCGTATACGCGACGTACATAAATGCGCGTCACGACATTTGGCAATTACCTCGGCATGTATGAGCACTCGATACGCGCTGTATGACGTCGCCGATGTGCCCGAGCGAATACTCGTTCGGAGGACAAGCCATAAACGGTATAAGCGGCAACGAGCGGTGCACTAAAACGCGTCCCGAGACGCGTTTCGACTGTTGAACATCTAATGCATCGGGAGTTGTCGAGCAGGATCGAGACGGACTCCGGGGGGTTCGTGTATACTTTAACGTATTAGGAGGTTTCCCCACTTTACGGATATTGACATATGTAACTTGATAATAAATAAATCGAATAACATGATATCGTTTTTTATTTTATTTTTTTATTTTGTACGACACTAGGAAGCGTCAGAGGAAATAACAGGAAAAAGTGTGAAGGGCGAGAACAGCTCGCGTTGCCGGAACGTACCCGGAGGACAACTCCATCCCTCTTTTCAACTGCCTTGCAGTGTGCCTGAGCTTGTTTAGCTAGCATGCCACTGCATCGCCCTGCGGGGGCAGCAAATACACGCATCGGCGCATATTTCGCGGAAACGCTTTGGCGCTTTCGTGCGTTGCCAACGAGCATGTATATATTAACGAACGATACCATCGCCGTGTAATATTTGCTTCGGGCTTTCTCGTTTCCCCATTATCGTCGTCGAGCCCGTCGACGTTGTGGCAGAGGCTGTCGCTTTCGATCGCTTTCGACGATTGTGATTTGCGCCAGTCGCTAACGCCGCCGACTGTTACTCTCGCGCGTAACCAACGGTCAATTTATCCGTTATTTTCCTGCTCGATAGTCCGCAAACTAATTCCCATAGAATGAATAAAGTATTGCACACTTTTCGATCTATTGCTTTATTTTCTCTCGCTGTAGTTACCGAATCTACTTTGCCGTCGTCCTAAGGAATTAATAAACGCGAGCAGAGATATCTGTGAAGTTAGCACCGCCATTGAAAAACAAAAAAAATCAAAATTGTGTTAGGTTGTACTAGGCTTGTGCTACGTTGTGCCGTAAACCGCACTTCGATATCTCAAAAAATGAAGCGAAAATTGAAAAAAAAAAAACCGTTTTTAAGGTCCAACACCGCCAATTTGTCCGAACAAAAAAATCGAAGTTGTGCTAGATTGTGCTAGGCTTGTACCTAGCAAACATGAGCAGAGATATTAATTTTCGATGAGACTCGACGCGCTGGTGCAGGTAAATGAAAGTTATAAAATGCAGGTAGTACAGAACGTCGCAGAAGCGAAAGGGCTAGACGGAACGGTTTCGTTCTGTTGAAATTATGTCCTTCCGCTCGTGCGGAATCTCGCCACCTCGGGATAGCTTGGTAGTAAGCGCGATTTAATTAAGATACGAACAATCCGGGACGCGAAGGAGGCCGCCGACACTCTCGATGGAAATATCGGAAAATATGAGGATCGTGCCGGCGTCGCCTTCGTCATCGTGTCTGCAGGTTTTCCAACGGTATGGTTACTGGCATAGCATAATAATAACGGGCATTCCCAGGATCGCAGCGATGATACTCATCGATAATTAAGTCGACATTACTCCCTGCCGTTTATGCACAGGTTTCGTGGACGGATCTGCGATACGCAGTCGTGCATGCGAAATTGAGAAATTTCATGGCAATTGATAGGTGACTACGTCGATTTGTATATCGCCGCGAGAAGAAAGGGAGAAATATATCGCTGTTGGAATTTAAGTGAGATTCATAACGAATAGCGAATGCGTATGCACGCGTGAAACAGAGAGAATAAAAATATTAGGCCGTATTCAGACCCCACTTCCATCGTTAAAGGCGCGCATTTATTTCTGAGATTCTGTAGTACGTGTAACAGACTATATATAGTATGCTAAATGTACATATTTATCTTTGAAAATGGAGTTGAATACATTCTATTTTCTCTCTCTCTCTCTCTCTCTCCCTCCCTCCTTTTTTTTCCTAAAATTTTTACTTTTAACGCCAACTGTTTTACGTTTATTGTTTCAGTTGGCGCAATGTACGTTTGTATGTTGTACGCTATACTCTTTTTGAAGTTATGGTCGTACATACAAGTGAACATGTGGTGCCGCTTGAGCAGCCGAAAGAAAACCACACAAGGCAGAATGAGACGTCAGCTGTCTTACAATAATCTTCAGTGTAAGTATAAAAACATCACAGCGATATAATACCTTATCAACACGATATTAACGTTTCATATATTTTATGCGTATCCATCAGGTGTAATAAATAATCTCTGTACTTAATATTTAATATGCAGTAGACACGCGATGCGACATTATTCTTCTATTTTTATATGAAACGGAATAAAAAATGAAAAAAAAAAAAAGAGGAAATATTTTCATCGTCACATACTCAGTTTATGATTTACTTTATACGTACCATCCGCGTGCGACTCGCTGCCAAAACTAAAAATAGCCACGCACGCGAATATATCGCAGTTCCGTCGCACGAGTAACTATTTTTTATGTAGCGCATTGCACGCCATAGTTTTTCGGGTTTTTTTTTATTTTTTTTATTTTTTACGATATTACAACGCTGTAATACAGTCTCATCGATGCCGCTAGAGTCACATGTAACGGATTTCCGCTCCGGATGGAAGCCGACCGGCGCGGCGCAAATCTTCATCGTTACGTACGTCGATGTGCATATGCGCTTTACCGAGGTAATGCACACATCCAAATAGCGCAAACACGTCCTACGAATCGGTAATCTACTGCACTCGTGGTATTTGCCCACTCCTGAAGGCGCGTCGCGGCGCACCGCATACGTGTGTGCGATCTGCTTATGTGTGCGTCTCATTGTAAGTGTACGTATTGTACCTATACGTGTGCGCACATGATAGTAAAGGGAAAATAATTTCCACCCAATTTAAACTCTGCCGAACGGACGTGCCTATGTTTCCTGTGTCGGACGCGCCGCGGTATATCGATTATTCTGACCTGACCGGCAAAGTCAAATTATACGGTCTTTCCCCTCCGATAAACTCACTCACCAGCGCAGTATTAACCCTTTCCCCCCGTTCTTCCTCCGCAGTAGTGACGGTAAAACGTCGAACGTTTACACTGTTGCAGTGCGTTTGCACTTTTAATCATGATTGCTCAATCTTTCTACACGCCATGACTTGTTAGAATTGATTGGTGCACATGTTGATCACTGTATGTTTTCCGATCACCTTCAGATGAACGCATTGTGATTTATTATAAAATTGTGTCATGCCAATGTATCTGAAAGAATTCAAGAATATTTCAATTATTAAAATAACGATTATTTGAAATTGTCGAGTTTGTCTATTTGCCACATTCTAAGTGACTTTAAAAGATAAAAAATTGTTGAAACATTAAGATTCGCTTTGACTAAAAATAGGATAATTTCTGACGCTGACGTGACACATTTCTAACGACTTTCTTAAGATACGTGAATTTTTAAAAGAAATTTTATAACAGAACGAGAGAACCATTTCTGAAAACCGTACGTAACAATTTTGATATTGAATATGAAGAGTACTCACATTTTAATGAGGAACCACTCGAGGTTTTCAGAAGTTGTACAATACTTGCATTCTTCTGTTTTATTAAGAACAATTAGATACACATTTTTATATTGATTGCGAATTATTTGATTTTTATTTTTATTTTGTATTATCCTGAAGATAGTTGCAAATAACAACCGAAACGTTGATCTTTTATTTTTAGAATGAATTAAAGGAGGAAAAAAATTTTTGTATAATTAGACACACACAAATAATAGCTGTGTTCTATTATTTGTGTCTAATTATACAAAAATTTTAATAGCTCTTATTTGCCTAAATTTATATTAATATTAGTTTATTTCTTTTAATTGAAAAAATTGTTTATTAGACTCTTGAATATAACAAAAAACAATTCTGAGTTAATTGAGATATGTCGATTACTGTGGATTCCAATCGCGTTCAAGCGAATGCGTGATTATTTATATGCCGAAATTGTGTGTTTTACATACACATATCTGAAAGAATTCAAGAATACTTAAATCATTAAAATAGTGATTATTCAAAATTGTCTTCTTTTTACTCGCTTTATTCTAAATGACTTTGAAAGATAAAATATTATTTATTAGAGTATATATTAATATTGTATATTAAATATTGTTTATTACCTTCAAGTCTGGTGATCAAGAAAAAAGCAATTCTGAATTAATTAGTACGTCGATTATTGTGAATTTCTATTCACGATGATTTATACAACGAAATTGTTTTATATGAACGTATCCGAAAGAATCATCAAATATGTATTTAAACCATCAAAATAGGGGTTATTTGAAATTGTCGACTTTTTTTTATTACTTCATTTTAAATGACTTCGAAAGATAAAAAATTGTTTATTAGACTCTCGAGCATGAGAAAAAGCAATTTTGAGCAGCCCTGCGTGAGCATGTGTACCGTCGTGCTGCCGATTACAAAAATACGAGCGCGCGATAAGCAAGATATTTACGCTTCATCGAAGCGAGAATTTTCTGCGAGGCGATGAACAATTTTCAACTTTCCTCTAGATTTAGCGCTCGCCGGTGTTCAGAGACTCCCTATGCTACGTTTAGCACCGAAAATTAAGATGGATATTCTCCTATGGACATCGGCGTATTCGCGTTCGGCGTTTCGCTTGCAGCTAATTAGCCGTTATCCGCTCGACCGACTCGCACCGTTCTCTCGCCGGAGAGTGTTCTAATTACGGTGCAAAAAATGACGTAATTGGAATATAATTATTGAAACCCCGTGTCCGCGCGACACCTCGGCGCTCGCTCATCGGCTCATCGCGAGGTAACGCGATGGCGACCGGTCCGATCGATCGATAGACAAATGTAATCGACAAAAGCCCACCTCGGGACTCCGTTATTACGAGCTCGTGTAATCTAGCGCGCGCACGGACGCCGTGTAATTTTCGCCCTTTCTACCTGACCCGAACTCCTATGGCACGTCGTATTATTACGTCCTGTAATGACGACGTAGAACCAGCCCTGGAGCCTGTAACGTAGACTTGTACATATGTATCGCGAAGGTAGTGCACCCCTCACGTTTTTGTTCGTTACGGCTCGATCGATCATGCAAGGAATGACGCTTCTCGTGGTTGCCTACTTTAGAAAGAAGCTGGAAAAACCTTTTTCAGCGGCCATATAAAGATAGATCTTATGCTTCAGATCTTATTTAATACATATTATAACTCTTATAAAAACATCTTATACTTCAAATGATAAAAAAATTTTCTTTACAAGACCGAGCCAAGATTGTTTTAACAATAATGTGTTAAGTAGTGACGTTAAGTAATTACCAAGAAATTATAGTAGAGGAGAAAGGTGATTATGACATCCCATTTGTACTTTATACAATAATTTGATTAATGCATTTAAATTTAAAACTTAACTATTATATTCGTCGAAGTGTTATTCAATTAATTCTAGACTGAAAGTTACGAAACATTTATTATACTTAGGATGTTATTTATAAAAATATGACGACACTGCATAAATGGCTTGAAGAGAAATAGGGGTGGTCTCTCCGCAAAAATAGATTTAAACGGCGAGTTACTAAGCAAATAAATCATAACTAATCACTATAGAATTCGCCACTTAATTATATCTACACTGATCATACTATCACCTTTTTCTCTATTTAATTTAAGCGTGTACTTGATTTGAAATAAAAGTGGGTGTCGATGTCGTCTTAGATCCGCGTGCCGTCAAGAATGCGAGACAATTTACGAGTCTGCAGAATTGCGTGGTCAAAGATCGCAAGCAATCGTATCGATTAAATTGGTTAAAGCTTTTTCTTCTTCTTCCTCCTCCTCTTCTTCTTCTTCTTCTTCTTCTTCTTCTTCTTCTTCTTCTTCTTCTTCTTCTTCTTCTTCTTCTTCTTCTTTGGTAGCGTCGATGCTTAATTTGTGAGAGTTCTCGTTCGAGCGGCGTTCTTGTAAGGATGCTGCCTTTTCTGTCCCTATACTACTTCTGCCCTTCTATATCGATTCCTTTTTTCGCCGTTCTTTGCCCGGCGCGCCAGTTTCGAGATATATGAACGAGGGTGGTCTTAAGCGCGAGGCATCCCTTGGCACAAAGACGAAATTACGTCGGCCCTTGAGACGCCCTCGGGCCGAGATTGAAAAAAATAGAAATTACACCCGTCGCGAACGGAAGCCTGCTCGATCCCGCCGCGTCCCCATGAGATTTAACCCTCTCCGACGAGAACGATCCCCGACCTTCTTCCATCCTTCTGTGGCCATCCACAGACGTGATAGGAGCCACTAAGGAGATCTTGAGAGCGCAGATAGGCGGATCTTAAGCAATCGCAGAACGCAAGATTGACCCTCGATCAACGTAAGAAATTTCTGCGAATACTTAATCTTTTTTGCTATATAGAGATGTCATCTTTTATTTTACTGAGCACTTTGAGAACAAAAGTGAAATAAAAAAATACGAATATTATATATTTTATTTATAAATGCAAGTGAAAGAATGTGATCCGAAGTGTTGGAAGTCACTTGATTATTTGTTGATGATTTTGCTTTAAATAGTATATATAATTACATAGTTAACGTATAATTATTGCTGTATATTATGCGTCGTTGTTAATGGTATGGTACTCTAATAAATAAAGCCTTACGATGCACCTGAGTCACTCTCAGTCTGCGAGATAAGGAACGTCATGCTACGTCAAGAATATGTCAACGAACATAGTGACGAAGTCTGCCTCACTACAAACATAGGAAGGACCTATGTTCTGTCGAATATCCTGTCGACTGTTCCGTTAACATAATTACTGAACCGAATGAATCAGGTGGTGCTATGAATAAATAAAACTCGATTATATCTTACTCTGAAAATACAACATATAAACGAGAATTTAACTGATATAACGCTCTTAACAAAATTTAATAATACTTTAAATTAAATTCTTTTATTTATCGGAAATAAAAAGCTTTTTATTAAATGAATTAATACGCAATTAGAAACTGAGCAATATTAACAGTGATTTGCAATTTTACGTGTAAATGAAATTGATAAAAGATTCGAGCATTTGTATAATTGATCAACTGGAAATGCTCCGAATAAATACAGCAGTTTCTGCAAACCGAACTGCAGGGAGTGGTTTTTAATTAATAATCCGTCGGTGGAAGGTTTACTGTCCAAAGATCACAGGTTTGAATCAAACGAATTTACATGGAATATTAACGAATCATTAAATCGTTTCCGAGTGCTTCTGCGTGATCGTGCACTCATTAATTTCGCGTATTTGACTGTTCTCTGAAATCACGTCGCAATTTCGTTATTTCTACTGATAAACGTACGCAAATTGCGATACGCTTCATTCAAGACCGTTTCCTTTTTGCTTAGAATTGCAATTTCCTTATTTTTATTTATAGGAGAGAGGGAGGGAATGTAAATATAAAACTTATATTATAACATAAATATCATATCAAAATGTATTGTTAATCATAATTATTGATGATTATAATTCTTCCTTGTCTTATGGTTTCGTCATATTGCTCGGAAAATTTACAGTTTCCCGTAAACAATTGCACCGACAACTGACGTTTTGCAGACGATTTTGCCGCCACAGAAGCTTCGTCTTTCTGTGTGACGGATATTGAATAGGAAAGAAAGAAAGAAAGAAAATAAACTATATACATTTATTTCGCATTTGGAGAGAGAGAGAGAAAGAAAGAGAGAGAGGCGGGGGGGAGGGGGAGGGGGAGGAGGGCAGAACAGAACACGATAAAATAAAAAGAAGCGCGAGGAATTTAATTTGGTCGAATTCTTCTACATTTATTACGAGGGTCGCAGAACGACGCCTGTAGTCGGTCGTCGACATGGACGTCGATCGACGTCGCGAGAGCAGGCCGCGACTGACACAAATCCTGGCGTCGCGACGCCAGTCCGGGACGCTGTCGAGTTCGAGCGACAATGCAGAGCGCGGCACCCGGCGCAACCCGGGCTTATTTGAATTCCAGATTGGATTATTCATCGGATTTGGATAATTGAGGGGATTCTATCAGTTACTGGTTCGGCGTCGGGGTGAGATTAGACGCGCAGATGGGAATACGCGCGCCTAGCGCAACGCCGAGAAATTCCAAGATTTCCGGCCGAACGGATCGCGCGAGCGAATCAGTTTCGTTGCTTAAGGAGTCTGAGGGACTACTCAAGAGACGCGTGATTGTACACACAAGCGAGAGATACAATCATGAAACTTCTAGGAGAATTCTCTAAAAGTTTTTACTTTAATTTTACAAATTGCGATCAAGCACACACACAAGGATTTAAATCGTGTTAATGTTGCAAACATGTATGTGCAAAGTAGACTCTTGATATTTTCTACGATTTGTATCTTTCAACCTTTCATTCAAAAGCAAAAGCTTCTTTAAACAAATTTTTATATCGCTTATTTCATATTTGATCTTATATCTTTCTGTGTCACTTTACTGACTGTGTCGCATGTCTATTTACGAAAGGAAAGTCTTTCATTAGTGAAAAGAAGAAGCATTAAAAGATATTTTTTTCTTCGTAATATCACGGATTATTTTATTAATTTTTTTATTAATATGACCGTAATAATAATAAACTAACGAGATTGATAACAAAAGCAAAAAATATCTTCTCATTTACATGAATGTCCGAAATTGACAGAGATATTTTTAAAATTCAGATTTCGATTGAAACAAACAAGGAGTGTTTTAAACGACCTAACAAAATACGCTCTTTCTATTACAGCTTCCGGCATTCAACAGAGTACGAATGATGTCAGCGACTTTGAACACGAGATGAACGACTGTGGAAATTCATTAGTACAATATCCTGATAATCTAAGCTTCGCCGATCTTTATTACTACATATTGGCACCCACTTTGTGCTACGAACTGAACTTTCCCAGAACGCAGCGGATTCGAAAGAGGTGAGTAAACGATTGATTTCGAATTGCGACTTTTGCACTTTAGTATGAAGCTATATTTGTGATTGTTATCAAAAATACAAAAGCTTCCAACTGATATATCTAATATTAGTCTTCTACGAGAGACTAATATTCTGTAAGGTTTTGACGCTTTTTTCATAGATATCTATTTTGAGATTGATAACAAAAGCAAAAAATATCTTCTCATTTACATGAATGTTCGAAATTGACAGAGATATTTTTAAAATTCAGATTTCGATTGAAACAAACAAGGAGTGTTTTAAACGAGTGTTTTAAACGAGTAGAATGCAATCAAAAGCATTAATTTTGAAATAATGTTATAAGTTCCCTAATATTTTAAAATGATTTTTATCCATTTAACTTCTTTGAAACCATGTTTCAATTTACACATGTCTTAAAAATACCAGCGAGTTCACTTCGATTGGAAAACGAGTCAAGTAAAAACTTGATATTGTCTGAGTTTGGTCGCACGGGCGCATACATTGCGTGAGGTGTATAAATCCGTCTTTGCTCTCAGATTTCTCGTATAGATTTCGTCATAGTATATCTCCCGATTCTCTCTCATGTCTTATTTTCTTTTCGTAAAGAATGTCAACAAATGTCGAAGTCGCCGGTTTACGAAACTCAGATTCCAGCGAATGAATTCTGTTCTGAGAAGAAAATTTTTAAGAGGAAGAGAATTCTTGGTCCGATTTTATCTAGAACATGAATTATTCGCGCGTGTCGAATTGGGACGAAGATTCCGTGAGATTCTATTTTAGAACTCTATACTCATTTGAGAAATTTGATTTAAATTTATTTTTGACATGCCATTTGCAAATAATAATTATAGGAATACATTTAATTATAGGAATGTATGGAATTTTCATGAATGAGTAAAGGGATTCTTTGCTATAATTCCTAACTTCGATATGTTTTATAATAATGTTAAACATTAAAAGTAATGTGCATACAAATGGTTAATAAAACGTGAATTATTATGGGATATTTTCATAAGGAATTTAACATTAAATTTATCTTTATAAATAATTGGTTCAATGTATGCGTGTTAAATTTTAAAAACATATGTTAAATTTGGATTACAAATTGCCCATTTAATGAAATTATACGATCAGAATGTTCTATCTTGAAAGATTATAAGTAATACTTGTTGATAAATCAGGCTTGACAAATTAAATTATTACACGCTTAATATATCTTTTCTTAAATTTCTTCTTTTGATTTGGTATATTGTAATTCGTTTTCATTGTGTGCTTTTTCCTTTTGCATCGTCTTCTGTGCAGCCACGTTGGTTGAAAAGTGCGTCCAGACTTTACTTGTCGCTAGCAGTTTGCTGAAAACGAAATTCGCGCGGACGACGTGCCGTCGAATAGGAACGTCGTTTCACGCGATAGCACTCAAAAGTCGTATTTCCGATTTTTCGAGAAGCGGTTCATGATCGAGGGAACGGTTGGGAGGGTAACGAGAATACGGGGGTGGAAATTCATGGAACCGGCCGGAAATCGGTTTGCGCCGTCGATAAAATCTGAAAGCAAATAAATGTGTACCAGTATAATGATCAGTGTAATAGAATCACATGGAAGCGAATTAGTTTGGATGTGGGTCGATAAATCCGATAAAAGATATATTTTTCCGTTCGCTGTAATATATGTCGTACGGATATATTCCATTGTCACAAAAGACAAAAGTGTTGCTTTTTTAAAATCAGAATTATGTATATTTTATTGTTAAAATATACAGTTTATAATTTTATATATATTGTATGTAACATATATATGTGTATATAATTTTTGCGTTTTTAAATGTCATTAAAAATTAAATGATATTTTTGACAATTTTATACAAAATAATTATGTTATAATTTAAGAACATATTTTGTAATATTAAGAGAGAATCTTTTGTGTATTTATCTATAATTTATCCGATATAATTTACAGATTTCTTATAAAACGGATATTGGAAGTCGTCGTAGGATGCCAAGTAGTGATGTCACTTTTCCAACAATGGATGATACCTTCCGTAAAGAATTCATTAATTCCCTTTAGCGTGAGTGTTTTACATACTGCATTATTATGACAGCTTTCGAACAATGTTTTGCGCCGATTCTTAAATTTTGTCTGAAGCGCAACACCTTGTTTCACCTTATCACTCACCTTTATTCTCGAACAATATAGATAATAATCTGTTTCGGACGATATCTCTTACTTTATTATGAAAGCTAATTATTTATCGTGCTGGTCATAAATAAGTCGGGCTAACCACGATAGTGTAACAGCTGGTAAGATAGGAGCCGAGAGACGAGTAGAAGTGTAATTTGGTTTCGCCAAATAGGTACGATCAATCTTTTGGGTAATACTCTCGCTTGGAAATTCGATACACACAAATATACGGCAAATTCTGTACTACCCCGAACAAACAGGGATCCCCGCGCTACGAATTCCCTCGTGATAAAATACGCAGGAAAAAGGGAGCTGTCGCATGCGCCGCAGTTACTGTAATATTGTTGCAAGTTACACCTGTAGGCAATATATCCGTCTGTGACATAACGTTGCATAATATCGCGAGCATGATGTAAATTGTATTTCTTAAAATGCTAAACAGATGCGAATGGAAGGAAACTAAGGGTTTCAGCGACACGTACAAAGTATATTTTTTTTATCGCTTATGCTCGCCCGAAGGTGTTGCAGATATATTTCACAGTGTTAATAACTTCGTCGCGAGAATTCGCAGTGTCTCCATTCGTTGAGGCAACAAAACATTTACAGCGGAAACGGTATACAGCCAATTTATTTTCGTGACGGTACGGTAGCAGTCTCGATAAAAATAAGCGAAAGTGAGAAGAAGAAATGAAGAAACGCGTCAGCGGCATGTCGTTTCAGCCCGTTGCGTCGCAATAATGCTCGAGGCACGCCATCAGTTTTTTATCTCACACGGAGTTAAATCCTCCGCCTTGATTTGGCAGTTAGATTTAATACCTCAGGAGGATGACGCGAGCGATATTTTCGCTGCAAATATCTCGCGTTTTCTCTTCCAACCGGACGATGCCCTGTCGGTGTGATAAAGGTTAAATACATTCGCGGAATCTACAGTTATCACCAGTCATTTATTGCGAGTTTTGTTACTTTCAACGAAATTCTAATTTTGCTTAAATATCTCGGATTAAATCTTCAACTGTCCAATATTTGTACGCAAAACCGACTGTGTGCAGAGTTTACCTGTAATAATTAGTTTCTTTTTGATGAAGATTAAAGTAAAAAAAATCTATGGATAAATATGTTTTTTCTGGAATATTAAGTCGTATATATATTGTATTTATATTATTTAATTTATATTATTAAATGTGATATCATATTGAACAGAAAACTTACTCTCTTTCTCTCTCTTTCTCTTGTCTCTCTGTTTCTCTGACATGATTTTTATTACATTTTCCTATAAAGATAATGAAAATGTGACATGCACTAAATTAATTTTAAAAAATCGTTAGCGAAGAGGAAGTTAATTAGCCAATTATCAGTCGCTACCGATGAGGTGTAATAAACGAACCGCTTAATTAAATAAGTTGTATCGATAGTGGTATAGGAAAAGGCCAGTTTAAAGCTAATTAGGGGAGTACGCAGAATGCGCAGTATTGATAAATATATACTTTTAAATCCGTCCGGATACCTTTGATTGCGCAGTAACGAGGGGGTGTGTGGAGTGTGCGAATATGTGCTGCGACGATGGGAATTTTGTATTGGGTACTCGTGAGAGACTCATGGATTTAAATGGGACCTTTTATGTGGCTGAGCTTGACCACAACATGGCAGGCGTCCGCGGTTCACCATCTATGCCCATATTTCGTACATAATGCTATCGAAAATCCGGATCTTGCCATATCGATCCGCTAGAGCTGCTAATAATTCAGCCATTCATACTAATACCGACTGCAGTATGTTCGATAAAATTATGAAAAAAAATTCTTACGCGTACAAATGCGGCCTGTCCAAGTATGAGTATGAGGTCGATAATGTTTATCGTATATTTACTTCTTTTTACGGAGAGTTGATTTCATTTAGTATAGAAGCTGGAAATACAATTAATGGAAAGACAATTAATTTTTGATTAACTTTAATTAATCCAGAATGTTTTCTGATTTGCAATCATTTGTGCAAATACAACAAAACAGGTTAACAAAGCACGAATCACAAACAAATGTAACGCTTAAAGCATATTCAGACCAGAAATTTCAATTTTAGCTTCGGCATGATTAAAAATTAATTAAGGTGTTTCGCATACAGTCCTCATAATTAAAATAACTATAATAAAACAGATATGAATAAATATGTCAATAATGTTTCTGTCTGCTAGTTTATATAAACACAAATATGTCAATAATGTTTCTGTCTGCTAGTTCATGTAAACGCAATTAGCAAATAACATTATATTTTTTCAATGAAACGTGCTCATATCATTATCGAAGAGCAATCTCTTTGATGCGTCTACCGTCAATTTGGTTTGCGTATTCGCGTATTATTTACAGTCGGATGCATTGTTGCAGAGCTTTGCGGGAGTAGCAACTATTCCTTTCCATAACGGTAGCGCTAATCGGAACCTCCATATTCACGATTAGGCAATCCAACGGTATGTTTCCTCCTTGACGTCCCTTCGCCGCCGTTCGGGGTTATATCCCGCGCAGGATTATTAAGCGTTTCCATCTCGGGAATCAGAATCGACGCGAGCCACTCAGCAGGGAACCGGTCCTGGGAATCCGACCGCATGATTTCGCGTCGCGGACAAATTGCTTCTGCAAATCGTTCGACGCCCTCTCTGCTGCGCTATCCGCTTCTCCCCCGTTTCTCCTTTCAGTTCCCAAAGAGACTCGAAGGAAACGCTTTGCCAGGACGCACGCTAGAAATACCGAGGTGATGGTGCCGTTCCTCCTCCTTCTCACCCTTCTGGGTTCCCGCGATGGTAGCATTCGAGATCGCGGTATCGACCGAACGCAAAGTAATTGCCATTGCTGCTAGGTAGTTGCAGGGAAGTTAATGCCAGGATAGGGGCCGGACGACAAACTACCCCTTCGACCGTTTCGATTCTCCTCTAGTTCGATCGCTTCCGCGCTGATCGTTCCATGCGCCATTCTTTCTTCGTTCAGCGACAAATTGGATCTGATAATTGCGAGTCGCGATTACGAAAGTCACGTCGTCGATCGAGCGTCCAGCTGGCGCTGAGAGACAGCGTTCGCTTCCCTCGATTTAACTCGGCGTGGTCTGTCACTGTCGCTCGCGGATGCTGGCGGGGATGAGGGAAGAAAGACGAGAAGAGAGAGAGAGAGGAGGAGAAGAGAGAGAGAGAGAGAGAGAGGAGGAGAGAGAGAGAGAGAGAGATTAAGAAATCTACGTGGATATTGCTTCCTTCGGATCGTGAGTCGCGAAAGGAGAAAATTGATAACTGCGGATGATGCTTGTCGGAGGGTAATCACTTTTTACTGGCGTGCTCCAGGCTGAGCCTCGTTATTCTTACAGGGCAGAATGAATGGATAAGAAGGTCGAGCACGAGCCGCGCCGCGCGCGACCGGAAATCCTCGCGATTTCCTCTGGCAAGTGGGCGATTAACCCCTCCAGCGCTGAGAAATCCATCGTGCAGCGCTTGCTTAGTGACAGTCTGTGCTTCTGCACGAATACATTTTTACGAATAATATCGCTCGCTTCAATTACGCTAAATGTAACTGCCAGTCTCTTATTTAGTCTTGCTTACGATCTCGTTTCTACATTATTACTTCTTTTCATTTAATCCTTTTATTTTATACTATCATCTTATAGATTTGTTTTCTATCCGATCTGTCATGCAATTCAATGTTGCTAAGTATCACGAATGATTATTATGTCACGGAAGTACAGAGAAACCATTGTTTTTCTGTGGCTTCTGCCTATAGAATTGTGCGGCTTTTCGCTTTGCGGATCGATTGAGCGATCGAGGAGTGGCAGAGAGGGTGCATCGTGCTCTGGCTTATCGGTTCACGGCATACTGCAGTTTAAAGGGATGAGCGTTTAAAGGATTTTCGGGAATACGTCGAAAGTGGTTATACTGCTTCGAGAAGCATACGACTTTATGGTGGTTACGACATATACGTGTAGAACAAATGGAACATATGAGATGTATCGATTTTCTAATCGCATGATACATATAATATGTATTATGTTCTCATATATACAGACATAATTATGTGTAATATAATCTATTAATTATTACGTAAACTAATCTATTACATTGTATTACATTTTATAAAAATATGAAGGAGAGGGAGAAAGAGAAGGGGGAGGGAGTAGTTTTGAGAAAAAATTTTTTATAGAAAATTTCATAAATACAGTTCATTTGTTAATTAAAAAATAATCTTATTTATTTTTTTTCGCTAATTTACTGTTCTTTTATCTCTCTAGTTTGTGTAATATAATCTATTAATTATGCGTAACGTAATCTATTACATTTTATAAAAATATGAAGAGAGAGGGAAAAGTATAGCTCTTTGAGAAAATTTCATTAAATACAGACCGTTTTAATGGACTGTTAATTTAAGAAAAATCTTATTTATTATTTCTTTCACGAATTTATTCTTTTATACCTCTCTATTTCTTCGTACACACATATATATACTATATATAGACCTACTAAGGTGTAAGGGTCAAGGAGCAACGAATCGGGAAAAGCTGCATGGCATGCACGATGTTCGCCTATTGCTCGTTTTTCCTTTCGTCGGCAGGATTCCAGATACTTGACCAACGTTGTTGAGGCGGAATTCGCGGAATACCAGAAGCCGGTCACACCTTCTTGTATCAAAGTCGCCGATATGCGTTCGCCGGCAGGACGGAAGCCTGCCTTCTGCTTCGAGTTATGACGCTGCAAAAATTCTTCCGATCCGCTGCGATAGGCAGAGTAAAAAGAAAATGTTGAGACGGCAGCTAACAAGTAAAATCGCTGGTGAAACTGCACGTGACTCAGAAGGATTGGATTTTTATAAGAGCGATCTCGCGTGTTTTTGCCGGTCTTCTTTCAAACCTCGAAGAAAT